AACCGAGCGATTCTGTGATTCTGTGATCTCGCTGTTGCCCTCAGCTGCATACTCTCCTTCTTACTACATTAGTCCAGCGCTGACTACTGTGAACTACAGGAGAAAATGTGTAAATGGAAACTTTTCCTAACTGTGCACCTATGCAGTTAGCTTGTCTCTAGAAGGTGTGTTCAACTTGCTGCATTTTTTTCGTGATATACCACCATCCTTTATACTGCTGTATAGATTCAGATGATTTGTGGAGAAACTCTCATCCTGTTGACTTGGGCAGTGCTTTCTTCCCATGTAAGTTTAGTTCCTTTCCTTGATACTCTTTGGCTACTGAGTCAACAAACTTGAAGAAAAAAGGCATGGAGAAGTAAACTTTCTGTTTCCAAAGCTGCTCGGTTCTTAAATTAAGAGCGTTTCTGAAGCTGCTGTTCTGAATGCCATTTTTGCATATACTGGAATGTTACAGTACTGTTTGCTAGCAATACTGCTAGCTCATGCTAGTGTACATCCTGTTGCACTCTAGGCAGATATATTTGGTTTGTGCAGGCTGCAGAGGCAGGTTTTGGGTCGGGTTCAAACACCAGTCTTAGCATGGTGATACCTGTGGGGCAGGAGAAGCCTCTTGCTGTTCTATCAGTAGTAGTAGTAGTGTTGTGATCCTTTAAAGCCTCTCAGACTCAAAACAGTTGTTTTGTAATTGTGGAAAGTGTTCCTGGTGAAAGGTCCTCCAGCAGTGGTCACTTGGGTTCCTGGGAGTGGCCGGTGAATAGAGTAACTGATCTGTGGGGATTTATGCTCCTGAAAACAAGATGAAGTAAATGTCCACATAATAACTTCTGTCCAATGTTGAGAAGTGCTGCGCCTGGTTTCGGCAGCTGAAGACAAAGAGCTGCTCCAGCAGTGTCATTGGAAGGAATGTGGCAGATTCACAAGCTCTTCAGCTCGCTTTTCTCGGGCTATGACTTCAGCCATGGACTGAGCACAGCAACTGAGACTGCTAGAGCAAGCCATTGCCAGTCATGGCAGCATTAGGAGAAGCACTTTCTGGGAATTGTTAATCTTTTCCTGTTTCTTTGAAGATTTTTTTAAATACATATATTAAGGATAATTCTAGTTCTGGCATTATAGGGTGTAATTCTGAGAGACTTTATATGTCTTAAGTGTCCTATCATACCTCTCATGCAGCACCTACTGGCTATCTGATCCTGTGGGATGGCTTTTTTCCTCACTGTAATGCGAAAAGAATGAGGTGGGACTCATTTTATAGTGATCATATGCTTATTTGAGATGCAGTTTTCCTCTTTTACTATGGAAATAATATGACAATAACCTTTGAGACTTTTTTTAGGGTAAGGCAATTAAGCATCCTAAATGGAAGTAAAAATGGGATTAAGTGGATAGTGCAAAATTACTGCTCTCATTGAAACAAGTACATAGTAATTGAAACTAGGTATCACTCAACTTTTTACTGTGTAACCTCATTAAGGTGAGAAAGCTTTTACTATTGTTACTGAATGTGGAATACAAGTTAAATGGCGTTTATGGTACAGTTTAGTTAAATGGATTGAGTTTAGGACTTGATCTCTTTCTGGGAATTTAGCCAGCACTACAGATCTTCAGCATGATATTGGAGATGCAGCATTTCTCTGTTCTACTCTTTGTCTCCCTATTCAGTTCCAAGAATATGGCAAGATTAAATGACTGCCTTCTAGAAGTGTTTAATTGAAAAGCCTTCTGCTGACAGCTCTTGAAGGATGTGAGATGGTAAAACCTTTCTGGAGTACTCCCTTATAGAAGACCAAATCAGTGATTTTTCTCAGTGAAAAGTTTCTTCACACTCTGAATTGAAGACTTGCTTAGCTAGGATCTAGGGAGGTTCAATGTCCTGAATCTCTTCAGTGGCATCCACTGCTTCTTTAAAACTGTGCATACTGTAGTTGTGGTCTCTTTAGGATCATCCCTGACTGCTGCTGTCCCTGGCAGGAAAGACACAGTTTTGAAACTGTATACATTGAGCACCATTCTCAGGACTTGTTGGGTAACATGTAACATTAAGTTGCTTCAAGACAGACTGTGTTCTGACTGTGGCACGACTTTCTGTAATTACATAGACAGTAACTAGGTCTGGATTTGCCTTACCTGCTGTTACTCCTTTCTTGGCACATGAGTGTGTCTTCCTTACTGCTGACTTCAGCAACGACTGTGTTGTAGCTCCTGCAACAGCATTTGTTTGCAGTGAAAATAGTACAGCAAGCTTCAGATCAGCTCTTGTGGTGCATATTGCCTCACTGGTTTGTTAACCATTCTGGTACTGTCTTGCCTTGTACGCATTATTAAAATGGGACTGAACCCAAAAGTAGTATTTCTCGAATAATAATTTCACTGTGCTGTGTGTTTTTGTATTTATTGTTTTTACATGTAGTATTAGGATAGCCTGTAGATTTCTTCAGATTTACAAAAATCATTGTCATGTGTACTTCTGTTTGTACAAAAAAAAAAAATATTTAAAAATCCTGAAAGCTATTTTAGGCTTTCTAATCTCCAAGTAACTTCAAGTGGTCCCTCTGCACTTATTCCAAGTTTGATTAATCTGTTGTGAAGATTAATGGAAAGAATTGAAAATAGTACTTCGGATGAGATTTCATCAGTGCCTTGCGTGAGAGCACTAATGTTACCCTGTCCTGACTGGATGCATTTTGTGTGTGTGTACAGATTCCTAGGATTGTTGGAATAAGTAATGAATTTGCTTTTTTATTTATTTAGTGTTTGGATTTTTTTATATTTGTTAATCCTTTGCAGAGAAACATCTTTCTGAAACTTTAAGTTTTCTGTTTGTTTTGTCTGTGAATGGAGATTAACTATACATTTTGATAATTAATTCAGAAAGCACACTATCTTGATAAAGTTTTGTAGAAATTTCAAACCAAATGAGAATTTCTGTTGAATCAAGTAAAGTTTATTTCAGCATCTCTTATCAAAGTGTTTTCTTCTTTTGGTTAAGAACTTCTCTTTATACTTGATTTCTCTCAAAGTTCAGCTTTTAGACATAGTTTGGCTTGAATTTACTCTTTGAGAGGCATTCTTTTAGCAGCCATGCCAGTTTATGCAGCTTCTACTGCTTGATGCTGCATCCTTAATTGTGCTGGTAAAACTGTTTATGCAGCTGCTCATTAAAGTGCATCAGGGAGCTGAACTTGATTAAGAATAACCAAGCGTAGTTACTTTTTTGCCTTACTGCTTTTCACCTGAATCATTTCCATGAGCTGCTTTGCTCAGTTGTATTGATGCAATTGGATGTATAATATTATGATAGGTATGAAAGATGGAAAAAATGGGAACGGCTTGGGGCTTTCTTTTAACAGCTCATATAGAAAAAAAAAACAACAAATAACCAACCAACCAAACCAACAACAAACCAACCCACTGCAATTCCTTTTTAAAATAGGGCTTTTCATTTTCCTGTTTCGAAAAATGTCTGTTAGACAAACAAAAAAAAAAAGTGGTATAGATTTGTATAAATGTAGGACTTCTCCCTCCCCAACTCCCCGAACAAACGAAACAATTTTGGAGCAGCTTAGAGTTTTTCCAGGCTTGTTGGTTATGTAGACTCAAGGTCTTTTCTACCTGATAGTCCTGGAGAGTCTGTACAGGTTTAGTAACCCTATGTTAAATGCATCAATAGTTATTGGAGCTCTGTTTTGTCATTCCAAGCACCGTATAATCTAACAACGTGAGAGTATTCAGGGTGCTAGGGCTGAGGGCTGACCTGATTGCTGTTTATAACAGTGATTAGAAATTACAGACAAAATAGACTCTTTTCAGAGGTGCCCAGGGATAGGATGAAAGATGGTGTATACAAGTAGATGGGCTTCAATTACTATTCTGTGATTTTTATACCTCCAGGAACACTGATGATAACAGGAAAATTGCTCTCCCTTGCTTTTCAAGTTAAAAGAATACAGTATTCAACTTGAAAGTCCTTTGAGTGTTGCTTGTTTCATTCATCTGCAAACTTGTTTTTACTGAAGCTGTAGTAATATGTCAGAATGATGTTTCAGTATAGTTCATGTCTGACGTGATTTTTTTTCTTTTTACTTTCAGCAAATTTGACAGGCCATGCAGAGAAAGTTGGCATTGAAAACTTCGAACTCCTGAAAGTTCTTGGAACAGGGGGTAAGATGCACTATTTTTCTAATTTGAATGTTGTAAACATTACTCTTAAGTATAGTTTTGTTTTCTAGCCTGCGGTTTTGGTGATTGGAACATACTTTGAGAAGGTATATCACTTTTGTATTGCACAGCATGATTATCTTCACTTATTTCCTCACAAATGTTGTGCAAAATTTGAAGTCACATGTTCTAGCTTACAGCAATTTGAATATGCACTTTTTAAATTTAAAATGAAACTAAATGGCTTGAGATCTGTAAGAACTTAATACAGTTTGTGAAAAATCTGATCTACATTAAGGCATGATCTCGATAATTTAATTAAAATTTCAGACTGTGTTCTAATGAATTTCTGGGGGAAAAAAACCAAACCAAACCAAAAAAACCCCACAGAACAATGAAACTAGTAATGTTATTACATTATTGCATAGAATGCTCCACTCTTCAACTGTATGTTTTAAAGCTGACATTGGCTTTAGTAGTCTTTTTTTGTCCTGTTTAAATCCCATTCATTTTTAAGACGAAAAATGTTCTATTGTGGATTTCAACACAACACTGGAGACTTGTAGGATGTTGATGTCTGTAACCAACAAAAACCGCTTTGTTTCCCCTTGGTTAAAGGGACACACGCAGAGGCCTTTACACAGACCAAAAGTAATTACTTTTATTTTTAGTGTGTTTATGCTTTGCTTTTTTTTTGTCAGTATTAACATCAGATGCAGTGTTGAGTAGATTGCAATAATCATGAGGGTGGACTTACATCAAGGTCTGTAGAGGTTATGTTAGTTATGATGTTAAATTTTGGGTGTTATCAGCCATTAATGCCTGACAGTGAGACTGTGATTGCACAAGCTACTACATTGCTGAAAAGAGCAAATGTGTTGGATTTTCATACAGTGTCATACAGATTATTTCATAAATTCATTAAGTCGTTAAATCACCTGAGAGTATATTTTTCTGTTTCTAAAGTAATTTAAAAAAATAAATTTAACAGCTTTAATAATTCAACTCTTGCTGTTAAATATCAGTAGTTAGTGGTAGAGACAAGGAAGCTTTAGTAGTCATACATTGTATATTCATATGTAGAAGGAGATCTGCTCTTCTGAAGTGGTCTGTGTTGGACTGAGTGCAGTTGACAAAAATGAAAATACTTAACAATTATCATGTGATGGTGTCTTTCTCTCCTGCTGATGGAAACATTGGATGAATTTTTAATTATACCTCTGTGCGTGTGTGAAAACCAGTCCCATACCTGAATTTTTTCCTTACCGCTGCCATTGGTCTGAGATCACCTTGACATTACAACTACTGCATTTGGAACACAAAGGAAGTTTTGGTGGTTTCATAAGTGTCAGTCTTCAGGTTCAGACTAGTTGTAGCCTGACCTCCTCCTGCTGTCTTTAGGCAGTACATCTGAAATATCCCTTTTACTGCTGTGAAACTGCTGTCTGCCATTCATTGCTACCTTCCATGCTCTCTTCTTCATAAACAGATTTGACAAGTTTCTCTTGGCCTGGGATACTCCTAATCATTGCAGGTAGTCTGTAGGCTCATAGTACAAAACTCTCCAATTCACTCAGATTGACAGGGTAATCTTTATGAGTGAGCCCTTTCAGAAAAGGCTACTTCAGTGGCTTGACAGTGGGATTGACTGTGTGTGTCTGTGTGAAGAAACAAAAACAAACACAGAGGAAACATGGCTTTCTATCTTCATCCTTGCTCCAGAAACATCTGTCTTAGTAGACGTCAAACTACTTCAAGAACTAACTAAATATTCCTGCAAACTTTAGGAATCCAAGGACACCTTGTTATACTTGTGTTACACTTTTTTAATACGTAATTTCAGTCACAGACTGAGGTTTTTGCTTTGGAAATCTAAACCATCAGGGCAGTCCAGAAGCTTTATTCAGTCTTAAGGGTATCACAGCTCAGACCAGTGCACGAGGTGTGTCAGAGGTGGTCGCTTGCCCATTACTGACCAGCATTAAAAGGAAATGAGCTGGTGGGAATTGAGCTGGTTCTGTTTTCTTCTGGGGAAGTGACCATCTCTGAATTGTCGGTGTTTGCAGTCACATGGAATGGCTGAAAACAGTGCTGGAGTGGGTTTGAAGAGGTCCTCTAATTGCTTAGCTCAAAACACAGTTACTTATACCTGCATCATCCCTGACAATGATTTGTTCTTAAAAGCTTCCAGTAGTAGGGATTCTGCAGCCTTCCTAGATGTTTTTGCTGAGGGTGTTCCATTTCCTAGCATGAGAATTGTTCTGGGGATTGCAACAAGCAAAAACCCCCTCTCACTCTTGCAAGAATTTTCTGAAAAATTACTATTTCACAATTGGATATACTTGTATTAAGGTGTTTCTTCTGTAAATGTCACCCAACGAAATTTTGGTGCAGCTCTGTACACCATCTTGGTTTTCAGTCGATTTCTAATTGCTATGGCCAGAAGAGTTTCTGTGTCCTTTTCACTGACTCGACAGAGCAGAACAGAAACTGGAGCAGGATACTGGTCAGTTGGCTAACATCATCCTGAGATGCTCTACTGAGAAATAAATTTATGAGTATTTGGCCTACTGTTACAGAACTACAGAAAACTTGTACAAATTGCCTCTGGTGCTGTGTAAAAACATAGTTTTGAGGAAGTTCAAGAACTACCTTGTCAATGAGAATTATTGTGCAAGCACTCAGTCTTAAGTGTGGAAAATCAACTTAAATGCTGTAGACCTTGCAGTTATCTGCTGCATGTGAAAATTCTGGGGCTATACATTCAATTATTTGAATTACTAACTGTATCTTTTTCCTGTAAAATGTACCTTGCTTTTTTTTCCCCTGCAACTTCCAGAGCAGAGAGATTTAATTTTCAAAACCTTTGTAAGACTCTAACCCCTTGTTTGCTTGCAAAATTTACTACAAGATCTTAACTCAGTTGTGTTATGAGCTGTGGAGTCTTGTTTAGACCTGCAGCTTCTTGACTTGAGCTTGGAGGTGTGAGCATGACTACTCTGACTTCTCAGTTCTTTGTACCAAAATATAGATATTCTCTTAGGGGAGTGAAAGGGACCGTAAAAGAACTGTCTATAGTCACAATAACCTAAGTCAGAAATATATGGAGTAGGAGGCTTTTATTGCAGACTTGGCTTAAATGATACTGTACAAGAGTAAGGCTACATTTAGATCTTGTAGGCTCTTGTCCAAAGCTACTTGTCTGCATTTCAGTTGTTGTCCTTAGGCTTGGTCTCACAAAAAATGAGGAAAAAGTTCAGAAAATATTTGTGTGTCTTCTGTATTGTTAAATAAGTGTCTGAATTACCTTGTTCTGTAGTTTTTTTTCTATTAGAATAAGAAAGGAGGCTATTTTCTTCAATGTATAGCTGACTAATTTTTATCTATGTGTAGTTGACAATCCAATGACACTGAAGCTAAATGCCATCCATCTAAAAAGTATCTGCCTGTTGGCCAGGGTACAAATTGCAGGTGCTTGTTAGATGCTTTTTACCTTTCATCCAGAAACAAAAATAAGAAAAATTCATTATTTCAGAAATTTGAAATATTTCAACTATTGTCAAGTGAGGAGTATGTGGGGGTTGTTTTGTTGTGTTTTGTTTTCTCTCCTACCCCATCATTTTTAATCAGGGTCTATGAGGAAGGCAGGAACCTAGAGACCTATCCAGACAGCTGTTATATCTCCTTTAGTGACTTGCCCCAAAATTACAGACAAGGTAAGGGAGAAATGAGGAGTTTTCTTTATGTTGGGGATTTTTATTGACAATTTAGAGAACTTCTCTGTTCTTTATGCTAGTAAATTCTATGAAGTTGAAGATGGGACTGGGGGTTGAGGTCATCTTATGCAAATTGATTCACAGAGACAAAAGGGATACTGTTGCTTTTTTGGGAGCAATTTAAAGAAGCATGAGGAAGAGGGCATCTGATGACTTCTGTTTATGTATTGCTCTGTATTTTTAGGCAAGAGTGATCTTTACTCTGACAGTGAAAGCCTTATCCTGCTGTGAGCGTTTAGGTATTACTGATACTGCTATAATATAACTAATGCCAAGTAAAAGCTGTGATGCTGTTTTGAAATTCTTGACGTGGAGTTAGGCAGCGTGCGAAGCATTTTCAAAGTGATACTTAAAAGATCTACAGTAATGCAAGGCAGAATAAAATGAAACCTCACAGTCATATTAAACGATGACTGTCGATGCTATTTTAATCAATTAGTGTTTTAAATATAATATGCTATGAAGCAACTGGAATGACTAAAGATACTCAAAATATGTTAAATTAAATGATGCCTTGCTTAAGTATATGTAGCTGTGACAGTTTCTTATAGACTGGGTGGTTTTTTTCGTTAAGAGCGGTGAATTTTTATTTAAATCTTCATTGTTAACGCTTATTTTTTTGAAGATGAAAATTTGAGATTATTAGTATTCGTATCCCTGGGTACTGGTGTTTCTCCTGTGGAAGTGATTTTCTTTTATGGTAATATTTTTTCATGCTATGGCCTAGCATAATTTCATACTTTTTGGTTTTTTTTAAATTTGCATTTCTTTCTTTCTTGCATTCTTTGACTGGTTTGTTCTTGTATACTTTCAATTGGAAGCATGCTTGTTATAATCCGCTTGTTTTGGTGTTAAAAGTGTGTCATAGTACACATGTTCCTCTTTTGATCTGAATCTCACAAGAAAGACAAGGAAGCAAAAATCTGAGTTAGTAGCCTTTTAATCTGCATTGCATCCTTTTACATTTACATTAAGGAGCTATTAATAGAATAAATTTCCCTACTGAAGAAATCAGTAACACTTTACATTAGTAAAACTAAATACATGAAAGTCTACCACTGTTAATACAGCTGTTAATAATGTACTTGTTGCTCTGGGAGCAAATTATTGCTTACTTGACTTCCCTAACTTGCCCATGTTATATACTTAGTATTACTTTCTGAAATTCCAATCTCTTTTTGTTTTTAAGTCTTTTTCTCCTGCTGTTACTGTATAGCCTTGTTAATT